AAAATAAAAAGCAAGAGACAGTATTTCTATTAGGTTTTAAAAACTTCAAGTTCCTGATTTAAGATAACAAATATATCCCTATCTCCCAACAAAATCATAACCAAAGCATGCAAGGACACATCTAGGATCAAGGATTAGATTTGGAGCTAGAAGACACCAGAAGTCATCTATTCTATCCCAATCTTATTTAATAGATGAGAAAGCTAACACACAGAGATGTGAAATGAGTTGCCTAAGGACATAAAGGAATAGTTACTATGTGGCAAAGTCAGAACTTGAAAACAGGCCTTCTGATTCTCCAAAACCAGTACTCTTTCCACCACACTACACTGAAAAAGTGAGTGGGTTAATGACCTCGGAGGTGCTTTTCAGTTCTAAATCTATGTTCCAAAGTAAACCTAAAAATATGTGGACAGTAAATTTTATTTTAAAAAAATTATGTTGAAGATAAACACAGCATGCCAATAGAATGGGAAACTCCTTGAAGGCACGGGACTGTTTTCTTTTCGTCTCTGTATCCACAATACTTCACACACACTTAACAATGTTTGTTGAATTGAACATAGGAACTTTAAATTTCAAATACTGTAAATTTTATGAAGAAAAGGGAGAAAATCCAAAGTTGCCACGTACAATTAAAATGGAAACAAAAATGGCTATTTCATTAAAAAACCCAATACCATGTGAAATATTATAGTACAAGGATATTAAATAACTTCTGAATCAAATATAAGAACCACTTGTACTCAAAGTCAGGTTTAAATAGAGCAGAATAAAATTCATTCTCAGGTGACTTTAGCCCGATGACTTTTCCTCTCACTGCAGAAAAGCACATTACAAATTCATAACCCAAAAGGCAATTAATTTTGAAGCTATTTATCAAGCTACAAAATTGTAAATGTGATTATATCTTTTTAAATTTTAGCTATGCTACAATGTTAATTTATAAAAGTGTTCATCACAAATTAATGGATTTGGCAAAACTGTACTAATAATTTTTATGGAAAAATGTAAAAACTAGGCACCTTGAGAGAGAGAACAGAGCAGAAACAAATGGTATTCTAGATTTTTCAAAAGCATTTTACAAATGTTATTTGACTCTCTAAGATTCCTATCTTAAAGATAAAAACCAATGAAAAAAAATTTGACTCATACTAGGTCACAGTGGCAGAAATAACATTAAAATTTAGAGGCCTCTATTTTACATACCTTTGCTTAAGAGGAAAGGAAAAACTGGCACTCCTTAATTCAACAAACATTTAGGCACCTACTGTGTTCAAGGAACTGGTGACACAAAAGATCACAAAGCAGTTTGGGCCAAGAAATTGGCCTTCTACTAAATAACAGAGAAGCAAGCATATGGGAATACATGCACACCAAGAGGTAAATGCAAAGAATGAGTAAAAGCAATACAAAATAATTTCACAAGTGGGGTAGCTAGGTGGTGCAGTGGATAGAGCACTGGCCCTGGAGTCAGGAGGGGATCTGAGTTCAAATCCAGTCTTGGACCAGACACTTACTAGCTGTGTGACCCTGGGCAAGTCACTTAACCCCAACTGCCTTGCAAAAAAAAATAATAATAACGATAATTTCAAGAGCATAAGAGTACCAATGCTTAAGGGAGATGGAAGAAATTAGGAAAGGCCCTTGAGCCATGCTATTTTAAGAAAACTGGGAATTGTAAAGTGGGAACAGATTCCAGACTTGGGGCTGACCACCTGTGCAAAGGCAGGAGATGGAATGTGTATGTGGACAGCCAGCAAAGGAGAAGTAAAAAAGAGTAATACGTAATAAAACTGAAAGGAACCATATTTTGGAGGTCAGGATGAAAATGTTGAGTTTTATAATGTTTTGAGTTTTATAATGAAGACTAAAATATGGAGTCACAAAAGATTTTTGGATAGGGGAATAAGTCGGATATGTGTTAGGAATATTAATTTGACAATTTTGTGGAGAGTGCATCAAAGAGGGACAGAAAGATGGAGTAGAGATACCAAATAGGACACTATTTACTCAAGAATTATAAGTCAAATCTATTCAGAATGAACCCCATTTTGACTGTTTCTTTGCAATATTTGTTTTGACCAAATTAAAGTACTAGAAGCCATATTTCCAGCTACATAACTCTGGAATGAAACCAAGCTGGGATTGTCTTGACTAGCTCTCCCCCCCCACAAAAAGGTACAGAGGCAGCTGTCATACACCACACTTTTCCTCTTCCCATGTCCTGAATCTTTTGTGCAGCTTTTTTTGGGGATAGTTTGAGGATGACAGTAGATTTTGCTTAAGTAGTTTGAAACAGAAAGGATGAGAAGGAGTGAAGAACTGACAATTAAAGAAAGGCCTTCTCTGTACCTATAAAGCAAATATGACCAAATTACAGACAGAGATGGAAGGTATTCAAGCCCCTCACTTGACTTGAAGGGTTAAGATTTGTCCAGATTCCACCATTTCTGCCACTGTTCCATGTTGGCTCCTCAAAAACAAGTTCTTTGCTTTAGGGAAGTGATGACTTCCTCGGTCAAGGAAAGAACAGAAGAAGTACTTGTTTGTCCACAGTTATGCTAACTCAAACGAATCCAGGCTTTCATGAGTCACTGATCAGGGTATTTAAGTGGCTTTGTGCAGGAAGTCTTCTTTACAGTGGTGTTCACAGTGATGGAATTTTACTCATTCCCACTTTCTATGTGATAACCTCAAATAGACAAAATACTGTGGCAAAGTTACTAAGCCATGCACCTTGCAGACTACAAAGCAGGGTCTTGCAAACTAATGCAGTAAAAAATGGTACAAGATATTTAAATTAAAATCCACATCATGTTTAGGTACCTTTTATTATTATAAGGTTTGTTTTCACAGATTTCAGGTGACAAATAGTATGGAGTTCCTATGCAAGTCCGAGCTAGCTCAAGGGTACTAGAATAAAAAGAGAAAATTACCGGTTTAACAAGACATTTAGCACTATCAGCTTTCATTCATGTTTAACTGTCATCAAATTTCTGAAGAATAAAAATTAGGGATGACCTATAGGACTGTGGAGACACACATGGTAGCATGGCCAAGCTGCAGCCTATTATTATCACCAACACTATGCCCAAGAAGGTATCATCCAGGAGATGAAGAATCAGGAGAAAGGCAGGCCAAGGACAGCAGTGAAGAATTGGCCTTGGCACTCACATCATGTTAGAAACCTCCAGAGCACTAGATCATCTGTGGAAGGTCTATGGATCGGCATTAACAGGAATCTCACAGAATGAGAAGAGGTAGAGGGTTTTCAATCTATCCACAATGAGATCACATATCTGCTGAAGCATTCAAGTAACTTCAAAGTAAATATATTACCTATTAAGAACTCTAGCAATTCCAAAGTCCCCCAGCTGTACTGTCCCATCTTTGGTTAAAAATATGTTCTGGAAGAGAAGGGGAAAAAAGTACTATTAGATATCAGTTTTTAAAATCTTTAAATAAGTCTGTAATCTATAGAATTAAAGGGAAAAGTCTACTAACTAGTAATTCAGATTAAATAACTTTTCTCTGTAAGACTGTCCAATAACAAAATGAACTCAATGATATGATTCAAGTATAGAAGAATATACTCTTCAGGGAAATCTGTCCCAAAGACTATTTTCAGTTTTCCAATGTATTTAACATAATAGTCTTACCCTTTTTCCCAGGTTTTATCAACCACAGAACTGGATTAATCTCCATTAAACCTGATAAATATTCAAGTAAAGACCTAACGCACAGACAACCTTTCATTTCTTTGACAGGCATTTTTAATTTTCAGTAATGCCTTAGCAAAACCATTTACAAAGATATCCAAGGTAAATCATTTGCTTCATTAATTGAACGCAATTAAAAAGTAACCTCATTCTTCCTCTTGTATTATGTATTCTTCCCTGTATTCTTCCTCATGATTATGAAATATTATTCTCATAATATACGTTTGAATGTCAAAGCCTTATTTTGAAAATGTTTATACTTTGTTAAACGATTAGCTAAATATGTACAAAGCATTTAAAAGATGTTTGCCATGGAGAAAAATGACTAAATGAAGAATTAATGTGATTAAGTAGTAAGATGCTTTGAGTCTAAATTCATGGAACAGTGATTTGTTTAATAGTTCAAAGGCAAATGAAAAGAGGACAGGTTACTTTCTTCACACATTCTGATGTTAGGATTATAACCAAAACTCAAAAGATGGGACATTTCATAACCTTCAAGAAAGAAAAAAACCTAAAGTTCAATTCAGTAATCAGCTTTCTCTGCACAGCAAAATACTGGTCTAGTTAAATGATGCTAAATGCTGTTTATTGGCTATATAACCCAAACCATGCCCTATTAAGACAGCAGCATGATGGAGTACCATTTCCTGAAGAGGTGGAAGTTTCTACTTGGGAGCAGTTGTTTCTTAGAACACTAACAAATCTCTTTCTTTCAGGTGGCTACTCACTCTATTTGATCTCCACTATGCAAGCCTTGCTCCTGGGCTGAGAAATTCCCCAGTCCTGTCTAGATACAGATATTCTATGAGACAATTATTTCTCATTTTATTTCCACAATTGTTTTTTGGTCTCAACAACACAATATGCCAATGAATTCACAGAAGAATGGTATAAAATTATTTGAAGGTCTTTTTGCTAGATCATACTGATACATAGACCCTATGAACTTTAATTCAATTATGTCTTCTTTTCCCTAATTTCATTCCTCTGTACTTGCCCAGTGAAACCCATATAGGCAGCTAGGTGGTGCTGTGGATAGAGCTGGGAGTGGAGTCAGGAAGACTCATCTTCATGAGCTCAAATCTGGTCTCAGACACTGGCTGTGTGACCCTGGGCAAGTCACTTAACTCTGTTTTGCCTCAGTTTCCTCATCTGTAAAATGAGGGGGAAAAAAATCTATAAAACCACTCCATTATCTTTGCTAAGAAAACCCCAAATGGGGTCACAAAGAGTTGGACATGACGGCAATAACTGAACAAGTGAAACTTATCTGTCATATTTTTTGCCCATTCACACATTCTTGTAGAGTCTACTGTATTCTTAGATCCTTCCAATCTTGACCAAGAACTAACCAATTCAACTGGACACTGACCTTTATTTTTAAATCCCTTGCTGCCTTATCTTACTTCCACTCATTTCTTGAGCAATTTTAACTTTGGATTATTTCTATCATAGGCTTCATCCACTCTACAGGCTTGTACATGGGATCTAATACACATTTATGTTATTGCAATTAGGTCCCCGCTACCACAAACAATCTTTTTTAGTCTTTTCCTTTCATATCCTCCCTGCCCCTCAACAGACCTCTACTCATACTTTACTGAGAAAATACAAGTCACTCATCATGAGCTTTATTTTCTATCTACTACTCTATATCTCAAAACCCAATCTCCTGACATTATCTCCAGTTCTCTCCTTTATTCCAGCGTCTATCTTATCAATGAACAAGCACATGTCTAATAAGCACTTCTTACTACATGCCAAGCATTAAACTGGAGATAGAAGTACAAATAATGAAACTATTCCTATTAGCAAGGAGCTCAAATTCTAATCAAGCAGACATGTACATAAATATATATAACATAAATGTAAACAAAATAAATGCAAATATATAGAAAATACTTAAATACAAGGAGTTAGAAGAGGAAGGACTTCCTTCCTTTACTTCAACAAAGTTAACCTTTTAATTTGTGCCCTAATTCCATCCTCTGCCTTGGTCTTCTCCAGATTAATCCCACAATCACCTCACTACTCTCCCCCATCAATCTTCAATGTTTCCCTATCTAATGGTTCATTTCCTAATGCTCTACACAAATGTCTAGATCACTAAGATTTATATGAACTGTAAGGGAGCAGAACCAGAAGAAAATTTATACAACAACAACATGTTAAACACAAACAACTTTGAGAGCCTTTAGAGCTCTAATCTCTTTAGAAAAAGAACAGAAGGAATCATAAACAATCAAAATAACATGATGTATATACTTAAAAATAAAAGCAAGCTGTATATTACGGGTTTGCAGTTTCACATACAGCCCTATTTCTGTTCCTCTGCACGTATGAATATAGTCATTTTAGTTGAAGTTTGCCAAGTCCAGAATTAAAAGGAATGCTTCAATTCTATAAAAAATTAAAATAAACAAAAAATCCTTTATTTTACTCTCCCAGTCCCTCAAGCTATCAACCTATATCGAAACCTACTTTTTACAAACTCCTAGAAAAAGTTATGTATAGGGGCAGCTAGGTGGCGCAGTGGATAGAGCACCAGCCCTGAAGTCAGGAGGACCTGAGCTCAAATCCAGCCTCAGATCAAACACTTGACACATACTACCTGTGTGACCTTGGGCAAGTCACTTAACCCCAACTGCCTCACCAAAAAACCAACCCCAGTTTTTTCAGCTGACCTTCTTTTGTGTGATGTCAAGGTTCTTCACTATCCTGGTTGCCTTGCTCTGGATGCTCTATAACTAATCAATATCTTTCCTAAAACTGATGCCTTAAACTCTACATAATACTCCTTCCACTCTCTTCTCAATCCCTTACATTCTGTCTTCTAGCCTCACTCAAATAAAAATGTCCTTTCAAAAGTTACCAATGGTCTTTTAATTGACAAATCCAATAGCCTCTTTGCCAGTCCTCATCCTTGGCTTCTCTACAGTATTTGGTACTATGGACCATCCCCTCGCTGGCTTTTGGTGATACTATTCTTAGTTTTATCCTACTTTGGTAGTATAATCATCCATACCAGGCCCCTAATGTGAATATGTTCCCAAGTTGTCTTGGGTTTTGTTTTCTTTTTTTTCCATACCCTCGTTCAATTACCTCTACACCTATGATTTTTAAGCTCTACATATCCAGCCCTAAAATCTCTCCTGAGTACCAGTTCTGCATCTCTAGCTGGATGATCCATAAGCATTGCAAAATGAACACACCCAAAAGAGAACTTTATTTTCCCCTAAGAATGTGTATCTCCTCCAAACATCCTTATTTCTATTGAGAATAGCACTAACCTTATTGTCACACAGCTCCATAATTTGAGAGTCAATCCTAATTTTTTATTCATCCTTACCACCCATGTCTAATGAGTTGCTAAGTTTGTCAATTCTACCTCCATATCTTACACATCTCTTTCCTTCTTTCCAAACATACCATAACCATGCTAGTTCAAACTTTTATCACCTCTAACCTAGAATATTTTAATAGCCTCCTAATTTAATCCAATCTCTACCCTTTCCAATCCAACTCCCACACACCTGCTGAAATGATCTTCCTAAAAGCATAGGTCTAACCATGTCATTTCCATGCTCAAAAAGCTCCAATGGTTCCATTTGTTCCCACGCACAGTCAAAGAAGCAACCTGTTTTTAATGCTTTCACTTGGGCTATTACTAGGCCTGAAGTTTACTCCCTCTTCATACCGCCTCATAGAACTCTGAGTTTCCCTCAAAGATGAGTTCTAACTAGTACCACCTCCTGTACAAGGCCTGATTCTCCAACTGCCAGTGTCATTCCCACCCTTGAAATTACCTTGTGTTTATTTGAAATATGCTTTGTAAGCTATCACTCTTTGCACATGACATGATGATATACTGAGAGAATCCTAGAGAATCAAGTAAAAAACTACTTTAAATAATAAACAAATTTAGCAAAGTTGCAGGCTTTAAAATAAACCCACATAAATCATCAGCATTTCTATATATTACCAACAAAGTCCAACAGCAAAAGATAGAAAGAGAAATTCCATTTAAACTTACTGTAGACATTATAAAATATTTAGGAGTCTACCTCCTGAAACAAACCCAGGAACTCTATGAACACAATTACAAAATACTTTTCACACAAATAAAGTCAGATCTAAATAATTGGAAAAACATCAGTACCTCATGGGTAGGCCGAGCTAATATAATAAAAATGCCAATTCTACCTAAGCTAATTTACTTATTCAGTGCCATACCAATCAAACTACCAAAAAATTATTTTATAGAGTTAGAAAAAGTAATAACAAGATTCATTTGGAAGAAAAGGTCCAGAATATCAAGGGAACTAATGAAAAGAAATGCAGGGGAAGGTGGCCTAGCTATTACAGATCTTCAATTGTATTACAAAGCAGCAATCATCAAAACTGCTTGGTACTGGCAAAATAAGAATAGTGGATCAGTGGAATAGGTTAAATATGCAAGACACAGTAGTCAATGACTATAGTAATCAATTATTTGATAAACCCAAAGACCCCAGTTTCTGGGATAAGAACCCACTCTTTGAAAAAAACTGCTGGGAAAACTGGAAAAGAGTATGGCAGAACCTAGGCATAGACCAAAATCTCACACCACATACCAAAATAAAGTCAAAATGGGTTCATGCTTTAGATATAAAGGCTGATACTATAAGCAAACTGGGAGAGCAAGG